TTAATACAGACACTAATTAAAGTGAAAAGTTGAAAGGTTTAAACATGTATTTAAACTAATTTTTAAAAGTCTTCCCTGGGGGCGCCTGGGTGGTGCAGTCGGTTAAGCGTCCGACTTCAGCCAGGTCACGATCTCATGTCCGTGGAGTTCGAGCCCCTTGATCGGCTTCTGGGCTGATGGCTCAGAGCCTGGAGCCTGTTTCGATTCTGTGTCTCCCTCTCTGCCCCTCCCCCCGTTCATGCTCTGTCTCTCTCTGTCCCAAAAATAAATAAACGTTGAAAAAAAAATTTTTTTTTTAAAAATAAAAACGTAAATAAGATCGTGCCACACCCCTGCTTCGACCTTAACCCTCCACTGCTCTTTAAAATGCATGCTCCTGGGGCGCCTGGGTGGCGCAGTCAGTTAAGCGTCCGACTTCAGCCAGGTCACGATCTCGCGGTCCGTGAGTTCCAGCCCCGCATCAGGCTCTGGGCTGATGGCTCAGAGCCTGGAGCCTGTTTCCGATTCTGTGTCTCCCTCTCTCTGCCCCTCGCCCGTTCATGCTCTGTCTCTCTCTGTCCCAAAAATAAATAAACATTGAAAAAAAATTAAAAAAAAAAAAAAAAAGTCTTCCCTGGCCTGAGAACCAACTTTTTGGAGTACAGACTGATATGGACTCAAACTGTCCCAAGAAAGTATGGACATTTTTAATCCCTGTGGAGTATCTCTTTAGGAAAGGGAAAACGAAATGGAAGAATGACAAGAAAAAATGAAGGCCCAGATAACAAGAGTTGAGTTCCTTGTGGGGCTCCATGCCATGACCCTGGATTGTGATCTGAGCTGAAATCAAGAGTCGGATGCTCACCCAAATGACTGAGCCACACAGGCGGCCCTATTACCTGTTTCTTAATACAGATTTTCAGAATGTTCTGACGACTCTTCACATCACACAAAGTGTTGACGGTCATTATTGGTTTGCATCATTGCCATAACCTGTCTTTACCTTCTCCAAGGTAGTATAGTAGCATATGCATAGAATGGTTCTGGAGCTGGGAGAATGAGATTAAGGAGGAGAAGGGTTTCTGTTTAAAGTTTTCACCCTATGTGTGTATTAACTTAAAATAATACTTTACTTTTTTTATGTTTTTATAATGGATGCCCTGCTATTCGTTTTTGTAAATTTCCCCTAAAAGCATCACATTTAAATTAGACATAAGACACATCACATTAAACATAAAATGTCTAAACTATTAAACTCAGACACACTATTGTCCCGTACTGAATTGTGTCTCCCATGAATTCATATATTGGAGTTCTGACCCCCAGTACTTCGGAATGTGACCTTGGAGATAGGGTCTTTACAAATCAAGTCAAGGTCATTAAACGAGGTCAAACGAGGTCATTAGTGTGATTCCCTAATCCAACATGGGTGTGTCCTTACAAAAGGGAAATTTGGAGGCACATGCAGACAGGCAAAAGGCCGCATGAAGATAAAGGCAGAGGTCGGAGTGATGCTTCTACAAACCAAGGAATGCCAAAGATTGTCAACATGCCACCAGAAAGCAGGGGACAGTCATGGAACAGACCCCTCCTCAGAGCCCTCCAAGGGAACCAGCCCTGCCGATACTTTAGGTTGTTTTTTTTTTTTAATTTTTAATGTTTATTTATTTTTGAGAGTGGGGAGGGGCAGAGAGAGAGAGGCAGACACAGAATGCGAAGCAGGCTCCGAGCTCCCAGCTGTCAACACAGAGCCCAACACGGGACTCGAACCCACGAGAGCATGACCTGAGCTGAAGTCAGATGCTTAACAAAGGGACCACCCAGGTGCAGGCAAGATGGTTTTATTGTTTCAACCACTCAGTTCGTAGTGCTCTGTTACAGCAGTCCCAGCAAACTGATCCAGCTATTAAGTACATCTCTCAGAAAGAAAATGATGTTTATTCACCCCCTTCAAACTCACAAATTAAAGAGCTATCCAAAAACTAAAAGCCCATGCATAAAAGAAATTTAAAAATCACATTCTAGGGGTGCCTGGGTGGCTCGGGCGGTTAAGTGTCTGACTCTTGATTTAGGCTCAGGTCATGATCTCACAGTTTGTGGGTTTGAGCCCTGCCTTGAGCCCTGTGCTGACAGCGTGGAGCCTGTTTGGGATTTTCTCTCTCCCTCTCTCTCTCTGCCCCTCCCCAATCTATCTCTCTCCCTCTCAAAAAAAAAGTTTTAATCACATTCTAAATTAAACAGTTTGACCTGTGCTGTTAAACCATCTTTAAGCTTGACTTTTCAAACAAACACCCTTACTGATCGATACATACATTTCCCATTTACTTTTTCAATACACTAATAATGTTAAACCCTTAAGGAATTCTAGTCAACTAAAGAACTAGTTTATAATACTGTTTCTTAAAAAGAGATGTTAAGATGGAAGGAAGATACACCCATTTTAAAGGATGAGGAAAAAGACTGAAGCATAGAAGCTATTGGTTCTATATCACCGGATACCAAATTTTATGCTATAGACATCATTTTCGCATATTCTCTCCATACTCAATAACAAGGAGCCTGACCACAGAGTCCTCTCTTGAAATGCTACTCAATAGACAAGCTTTGGCTTCCCTCTGAGGACACCAAGAAAAGAATGGAGAAGGAGAGGAAACTGTTAACAACCCAAATTATAGCAATTCACTAAGATGCAATTTTGTAACTTTATTTTAGTCACTGCTAAATGGCTACCATTTCCAACTCCTACATCCCCATATGCTTTATATTCAGTCTCCCATTTGAGCCTAACAATAAGCCTATGAGGTAAAGAGTATTGTTTTACTGTCACTTGTTTGTATTCCAAATATGTACATATATTGTATACATATTACACATATTAACGTATTACGTGTATATACATATCGAGAGGGGAAGTTTTATATATTTGTATGTGTGTATCCATGTATCCTTACATATACATATATATATATATATATATATATATATATATA